GTCGCGGATTCATCTTCAGAGACATACTCACAGAATAGTAGCAGAAACAGTTGGTTTGTGCGCAGAGTTCCGCAACCATTTGACTCAGTTGTGACCCAAATGTGATTAACCTCACAACTGACAGTCGGACTTCGTAGGTAAAATGGCTTTAGGGTTATACTTGCTATTCAACGGTTCGAATCCCACCAAGTTTCCAGTCAGGTCAAATGAATTAGTAAATCGAGAAAACACGCACTTTGTGGGCTAATTTCCTGGGCGAAATGCTGGCTTAATGCATATCAATGTATGTATGTATGTACCTTCTGCAATTTATTTTATCGAGCTTAATCTTCGGGTGCAAACACAACGATTATTTTTCGACCATCGATTTCGACGAAATCCACCAGATGCTCCAAACAGGTCGCTGCAGGGAAGGTGACTGAATACAGGGGTTAGTTCTAAGTGAGTTTAGACGACTCAACCGTGTACTGCAATCGACCTTCACCCGCCTGAGCCGGTGACATGACAAGGTCAAGATGACCGAACGAAGTCCAACGTGGGCCGCTCTCTCCAATGCAGGCCAGAACATCGCGTGATTTAGTTTGAAGTGATAGTAGGCATAGTAGATGACCTAACCCATGCAATGTCCAGATCGAAATTTGAATGAACAGTTGAGCATAAATTTGGGCTTTTTTATTTTTATTTGTGAAATAAATTGGAGGCTCAGAAGACTAGTCACTGGACAACACTGCATTTATAGTCTCGTTTACTGAAAGAAAACAGGCAGAATTGAGGCAAAATCGGGGATTTCCAGATATATAAGAAAACATCTATACGATTTAATACCACAGAACCAAACCTGCGGTCTTAATACTGTGCTATAAAAGAACGGCAATAGGAGCAAAAAATGTTTCAAGTTGATCCCTTCTGGAAGCAAAAAAGTGTTGTTAAGTGAATGAGAATCACGTGAAGGCAAACGCGAGGAATCAAGGAACAAGGAAGCAAGGAACGGATTCGCCTTTGAAAATTATGTGTTTTGCAAACAAGTTATACTCCTTTGCAGTAACAAATTATACGAAATAAAGATAAAAACGCTCCATATAAATAAAAGTGGGTTCTGTCATTTTTAGGAGAAATAGTAACACCAATTCTACAGAAAGTCAGAAAATCCGGACAACGTTCCACCTTTTTTTACCTTGGCATAACCTTAGAAAAGGAACAGACGCAAATATTCGTCATCAAAATATATAAATTAAGTACTTTTTAAGGAGATAACATACTGAAGAACTTCTTTAAATTGATGTTGAGCATATTACTTGTCAGCTATGATTTGGGGCACTCGTATTTCTCAGCAATGCATTTAAATGTTTGGGTGAGTCTACAAATAGGACCAAAATGGCCATCTGCATCGAAAAGAATTCCCAAAAACCCACCAATTCGGCAAATGCTTTTAAGAGATATTTTATTTTGAAAATGTTGGTAAACGCATCGAACGGAATTCACATTTATTGCCAACTGATTGAAGTGAAGCCGTGCAAACATAAGGTATTCACCGAGCTGAAACTCATTGTAATTCAATACCAGAAATACCGATAAAAAATTGGGCAAAAGAAAAGTTTTCTTGATATACTTAAAATGGTAGGGTCCGTGGTGCAATGGTAGAGCGATAACCTCAATGACCAAATGTCCCGGGTTCGAATCCCGAGTAAGCCACATCTGGAATTGAGCATGAATTGCTGATGACAGCTAATAAGCCAGAAATGACCATTCCGTTCTTCCTTTGCTTTGTCGGATCCATTTCATAAAATAGCATGTTTAGGATTTCACCTCACAATTTTAGGTAGATTTATTCGTAATATTTGCAGCGATTTTTCACGCTTTCGAATCTGCCGCTTTCCTTAATAATTTTGGTAGATTTCAATAATTAATTTAACCCAATTGTGAAAATCTCCCTCCAAGGCCGCTAAGCTAGTGTTTCTAAGCAAAGTAACATAACTTCTCATGCTTCCTTTAAGTCTCTTCAGTAGTATTTCAAAGTTTCGGTACAGACGTTGGTGCCGATTCGGGAATGATTATCAAGCATTCGTAAATTCCGGTATTTTGCGTCAGATAGGCCACTCAGTGCAGTGGTGCAGCGTTGAGTCTTCTGTTGACTGTACTACACCCGTATCACGGTACTTTACGCAGCAATGTTTATTTTTTTTTCTGGGGAAACCGAGTGAGTTACTTTTCTAATACCCCAAACCACTGAAAACTAAGGAGAGGCTGTACCTCTCAAGATGGATTATTTTTCTTGAAGAGACTGGTTCAATTCGGAGTCTCAGATACTCGCGGCCTAAAACCATCAGTTTTGACTGCACGCAACATACATACCAGACAACGTTATTTAGACCTCAGTCCTCGTGGGTACAGTTAGGCCGCTAACTAGTTCCGAAAGCTTCAATGCAGCCCATTTGGAACGAATGTGTCTTATTTTGTCGTCAGCAGGAATAATTTACGTGACCAAATCCTCTTAAAATTGAGCAGTAATATATCACCAGGTTCATAGAAGTGCCAACCTTCGATAATGGGGACACTGCAACGGCGCAAGCACTGTCTTTCGGCACATCAACGTCACCACATTAATAAGCTTCAGTTTGGACTCGGAGTTTGCAATGCAGATGAAGTCTTCCTGGTAGTAGCGGCCCATTGATGCAAAGCACCTGGGTATGGCGCGCTGTTCCACCCTTGTCCGCGTTCTTAACTCTAGATTTCCATCCCTAGAATTTGGTAGGTCGTACTCTACCTGAAAGAAAAGAGGGCGCGCAAGCTGAGCTTAGAGGGATTTTGAAACTAAAAATGAAAAAAAGTCAATTCACAATCCAAAAATACTACCACGAATATAATTGTATGATATACTGTGCAGGTAATAATTTGCAGATTTTTAACTTGAAAACACAGAGAAGCGCGATAGCGTTGAGGTGAGAGTGCATCTTAAAATCGAACCCAATGATTATAGTGAAAACTGGGCTTTGCAATTTTAACCTTTCCCTTTGAACGCAATAGCCCAGAATGTTCGTTTAGGACTTCATGTTAAAGTCTTGGAGTTGAAACGTAGAATTTGATTCTAAACCCCCATTTTACTTTATTAGGTGGTTGAAAATTAGAAGTGAAACATAAGAAATTTTCAATCGGTTCTAAACACAGCCTACTTTAAGGATGTTTCCGACACCGACTAAAATAAGAATGAGGGATAAAGCAGCAACACTGCTGGGATACGTTTACTTTCGTAAAATTGAATTTTCCTAACCCGTGGAGATCGCCTGATGAGAGGTTGGAGCGTCAATTTCACCTTATATACCGAATCTACCTGTTAAATCAGTGACGTGTAAATTGTTTCATGATCCTTAAAATGTCCCAGAAAATAGCCCAACAGGGGTTTGAGAAGATCTTCATTTCCAACGCCAGACAGTAGCTTTGGGACTGACAACTGAATCTTCATGGATTGTGGTCGGGAAACGACGCAGTTACGCAGAACGGTGGTTGGCACTCTGTCTCGACTGCTGGGTAAGCAATATTTGCGTCGTTCAGAACGAGATCGCAGGTTTTGGTGTTTTCAAAAAGTTGAAATATGTCATCGAACATATGGTAAAGAATCCGTGCGCTGAATGCGACCGTTGGCCAGTGGACCAGGGATAAAAAAGGGATATTTGATTCCACCGTAAAGAAGGATAAAACTATCATCACAACAAGGCACCTTTGCCCAAAACATGGTATTTTATGGGAGGATAGCAACATATAATAGTTAAATAAATGCAGTGTATTTTATTAAAGATACACAAAGGGTTAATTAAACTTTACTTCGCAGTAAATATACATGCTGGAGGAGACTGAGCTAGCTGCTCCAGAACAATAGATCTGTGAGTCGACGAAGTATCTGTTTTTGTGAATCTGTCGCCTTTATTGATCAGCAAAGCCATCGAAAAGGATACCAAGGAAAAGGCTTCAGAATAAGGTCACTGTCAAATGGCAATTTCCATTAGGTCTTTATAATCCAAAAAAGAATAACTCATAGGCCCTCCTCCTTCGTATCTATTCTGTGACCAGTGTAACATGGACTCCTACGACGGATTTTCTTTATTTAATTTACTTTCTTTACTCTATCGATTGTGGAAACCGTAAGTCAGGGCATAGGAAAATAACCAGCAGTAACTCGATGGGAGCTGCTTAGGAGCAACTTTATCATTGAGATTGGTGAAATTTGAGAGGATTAACTAAACCTGATAGATTTCAATTGTCACTGAAACAGCACTATTAGTCGTGCTTTTCATTTTTTTGTAGATCAGAACACAAATGTACTCTCAGGTTACGTACTCCCAGAGCAGAAATGTCTCAAAACAGGACAGGCAATTTCTTACAAGAATCCTATCCTCTCCGAGAGTGAGCAACCTTGGGCAACCGTAGTTCGATGAGAAGTGAAACATGATGTCCACAACAGGCCGGCTATGAGCACGATATCTTCCCACGTACTGCCATATGTCCCCCTGTTCGGGCGGGATTCGTTTTAGCAATGTCGTTGACATTTCTGAATCCTGAGGTGGAAGAGAGCAAAATATATGCAGTCTGGCCACGAAAGAGGAAATACATACAAAGTGTAATAATGAATGGGCGGCTTCCCAAAGCTTCGGAGGACGATCTTTGTTTGAGCCCGAAGAGATCTTGAAGATTAGACTTCCAGTCCGATTGGATTCCTAAGATAAAACACACGTCACGCAATTTATGCGCTTGTTACGAAACTAACCCCTTGATTACAAGCCGGAGAGGCCTAACCCATTCAGCCTTCAGACGTAACTGCTCCAATATGGCACAAAATGACCACTAGCATTGCAAGTTTTCGCGATATTTATTTCGTCCCGAAGGGCACAGAAGGCACCAATTATTTTCGAGATATCACAGTACTCGGTAGTGGGAGTTTATCTGTTTTTTAAACGAGTACATTTAATTTACTCCAGCCATAAAACCCCAAACATGTCAAGATTTGGTGCATCCACAATGTTGACTAGTACAGGACGAGTATAAGAATTTCGAGTTGTTGAGAAAGAGTTTTAGCGATAGCAAAAGGACGAATATTCTTTTGGCTTTTTTGAAAGTTATCATACGTCGGAAAGTCTTCTAAGATTTCCCAGATGTCTTTCTTATTTTATAGCATTACCTTTGCGATTATGAGTTGAAGCGAAGACCAACCGCTGTCGAAGGCTTTTGTGATCAGTGAGTACAGTTTGAAATGTTAGCATTAAGTGATCTAAATGACAGTCTTAACTCTTTCCTCAGGGCTCGTTCAAGAAGGATTTCTTTAAAAGCTCTTTATCTTTACCTTGCGATTAATGTAAAATATTGTTGAAGGTTTTAAGTTCTGTCAGAATAATAAAAACGAAATCTGCTCAGCATTTTACAGAAAAATGTTAAGTCGTTTAAATCGTCGATTAAAACAACTTACGACGTAGGCAAAATATTCGCTGTTGTGACTGAATGCAAGTTGGGTAACGACCCCCTTTGCAAAATCAATAGGTCGTCTCATCGTGTCATTAAGATCAATACCGTCCAACATCATAACCCGCCCTGAGGTACAGCCAACAGCTAAAAGGCAAAAAAATGAAGTTTTTAGTAAAGACGGGAAAAGTTTTCGAGATTTTATAGAGAACATATCGTAGAGGGGCACTTCGATATGGTTGGAGGGCTTGGATGGCCTTTAGAAATTCCGGGAACTATTAGTATGACTGCTTACACATGCAGGACCTTAATTTTTCATATCCAGGACAAACTGAGGATTCCTTTGTCCGCATTTTGAAAAATGCGGCTTTATCGGTGGTCATCGCACACACAGCAGCAAACGCTTTAAGCGCCTGAGCTACGAGGGGCCCATCGAATACCGCTGGGTCCCAGCGATCGAGTCGTCTTCTTCTCAGTGCATGCTTTATCCTGACTTAGAACGCGCATTAGTCAAGCATATGCACCACGTAGCCTGTTGTAGGGGCAAGCTGCGTAGATAAGGACAGTTCGACTGTCGCTCTAGACGAGGTTTACCACGAGCCTCAGCAAGCTGAAGCAACACCGTGACTCCTGCGGGATAATAGTGAAAGAAGACTTGCGGAGAATCTACCCCACTCTCTCACTACTCCCACACCGGGACACGGTGTCAAGTCAAAAAT